AAACCCTAAAATTGGGGTGGGGATGGGAATTTTTTGTGTTTTTAACCCCAAATTTTTATGTTTTTAACCCAAATTTTTGCATTTTTTTAATCAGAAATTTTTGCGTTTTTACCCCAATTTTTGTGGTTTGAACCCCAAATTTTTGATGGTTTTACCCCCGATTTTTTTGCTTTTTTAACCCCAAATTTTTATATTTTTGCCCCCAAATTTTTATGTTTTCAGGCCTGATTTTTTTATGTTTATAAGCCAAATTTTGATGGTTTTACCCCCATTTTTTTTCATTTTTTACCCCAATTTTTTTCATTTTTTACTCCAAATTCTTGTGGTTTTACCCCCAAATTTTTATGCTTTTACCCCAAATTTTGCTTTTCTAACCCCAAATTTTTATGTTTTTACCCCCAATTTTTTCTGGTTTTATCCCAAATTTTTACATTTTTACCTCAAATTTTTTATGTTTTTAACCCGACTTTTTATGCTTTTAACCCCAAATTTTTATGGTTTTAATCCCAATTTTTTTATATTTTTACCCCCTTTTTTTTTTGTTTTTAACCCCGATTTTTTTATGTTTTTACCCCCAAATTTTTATCTTTTTTAACCCCAATTTTTAAGTTTTTTACCCCAAATTTTTGCGGTTTTACCCCAAATTTTTTGCATTTTTAGCCCAATTTTTTGCGTTTTTACACCAAATTTTTGTGGGTTTAACCCAAATTTTTGGTTTTACCCCAATTTTTTGCATTTTTAACCCAAATTTTGTGGTTTTACCCCAAAGTTTTTGTCTTTTTAACCCAAATTTTTTGCTTTTACCCCGAATTTTTGTTCTTTTACCCCCAAATTTTTGTGGTTTTTACCCCAAAATTTTTATGTTTTTAACCCAAATTTTTGCATTTTTTACCCAACTTTTTGTGCTTTTAACCCCAATTTTTTGCGTTTTCACCCCAAATTTTGATGTTTTACCCCCAATTTTTTTCGTTTTTAACCCAAATTTTGATGTTTTTACACCAATTTTTTTTCGGTTTTAACCCATTTTTTTGCGTTTTTACCCCCAATTTTGCTTTTCTGCCCCCGATTTTTGTCCCCCAGGTGAAGCCACGGACGAGAAGCTGGGGGGGGGGAAGAATTTGAGTGTCCATTTTATGTTTTCACCCCAAATTTTCATGGTTTTACCCCAATTTTTTATGTTTTTAACCCCATTTTTTTTATGTTTTTACCCCAAGTCTTGTGGTTTTAACCCCAAATTTTGATGTTTCTACCCCCAAATTTTTATTTCACCCGAATTTTTATGTTTTTACCCCCAATTTTTTATTTTTTTAACCGCTGTATTTTATGTTTTTACCCCCAAATTTTTATGTTTTTAACCCAAATTTTTGCGTTTTCACCCCAGATTTTGATGTTTTCACCCCAAATTTTTTGCATTTTTACCCCAATTTTTTGCGTTTTTACACCAAATTTTTGTGGTTTTAACCCAAATTTTTGGTTTTGTCCCCAATTTTTTGCATTTTCACCCCAAATTTTGATGTTTTACCCCCAATTTTTTTCGTTTTTAACCCAAATTTTAATGTTTTTACACCAATTTTTTTTCGTTTTTAACCCAACTTTTTGCATTTTTACCCCCAATTTTGCTTTTCTGCCCCCGATTTTTGTCCCCCAGGTGAAGCCACGGACGAGAAGCTGCGGGGGGGAAAAATTTGAGTGTCCATTTTAAGTTTTTAAGCCCAAATTTTCATGTTTTTAACCCAAATTGTTTCATTTAACCCAATTTTTTCTATTTTTAACACAAATTTTAATGCATTTACTCCAAATTTTGCTTCTTTACCCCCAATTTTTTTTTTTTAACCCTGATTTTTTTGCATTTTTACTCCGATTTTTTGCATTTTTAACCCAAATTTTTATATTTTTACCCCAAAGTTTTTGTATTTTTAACCCAAATTTTTTTGCTTTTACCCCAAATTTTTGTTCTTTTACCCCCAGCTTTTTATGCTTTTAACCCTTATTTTTTAAGTTTGTACCCCTAAATTTTTATGTTTTAACCCAAATTTTCGTGTTTTTTACCCAACTTTTTGTGCTTTTAACCCCAAATTTTTGCGTTTTCACCCCAACTTTTTGCGTTTTCACCCCAAATTTTTGTGTTTTCACCCCAAATTTTTGCGTTTTCACCCCAAATTTTGCTTTTCTGCCCCCGATTTTTGTCCCCCAGGTGAAGCCCACGGACGAGAAGCTGCGGGAGCTGCGGGGGGCCAAGCTGGTGATCGATGTCATCCGTTACGAGCCCCCCCACATCAAGAAGGCGCTGCAGTTCGCCTGCGGCAACGCGCTCGTCTGCGACAACGTGGAGGACGCGCGCAGGATCGCCTTCGGCGGCCACCAGAGGCACAAGGTCTGACAGAAACGGCCCAAAATGGCCCAAAACGGCCCCAAAATGGCCCAAAAACGGCCCAAAACGGCTCAAAAACGGCCCCCATGGCCTTTGGCGGCCACCAGAGGCACAAGGTCTGACAGAAACGGCCCCAAAATGGCCCAAAACGGCCCCAAAATGGTCCAAAAACGGCCAAAAATACCCCAAAACGGCCCAAAAATAACAAAAAACGGCCCAAAATGGCCCAAAAACGGCCCCAAAATGGCCCAAAAACGGCCCCGAAACTGCCCCCATCACCTTCGGCGGCCACCAGAGGCACAAGGTCTGACAGAAACGGCCAAAAAATGCCCAAAATGGCCCAAAACGGCCAAGAAATACCCCAAGACGGCCCCAAATACCTAAAAACGGCCCCAAAACTGCCCCCATCGCCTTCGGCGGCCACCAGAGGTACAAGGTCTGACAGAAACGGCCCCAAAATGGCCCAAAAACGGCCCCAAAATACCCAAAACGGCCCCAAATACCTAAAAACGGCTCAAAAACGGCCCCCATGGCCTTTGGCGGCCACCAGAGGCACAAGGTGTGACAGAAACGGCCCCAAAATACCCAAAAACGGTTCAAAAACGGCCCCAAAATATCCCAAAACGGCCCCAAAACTGCCCCCATCGCTTTGGGCGGCCACCAGAGGCACAAGGTGTGACAGAAACAGCCCAAAACGGCCCAAAAACGGCTCAAAACGGCCCAAAAATGGCCAAAAATACCCCAAACCAGCTCAAAAATGGCCCCAAAATACCGAAAACGGCCCCCAAACGGCCCCAAAATACCCAGAAATGGCCCCAAAATAACAAAAAATGGCTCAAAAACGGCCCCAAAATACCCAAAAACGGCCCAAAATGGCCCAAAAATGGCCCCAAAACTGCCCCCATCGCTTTCGGCAGCCTCCAGAGGCACAAGGTGTGACAAAAATACCCAAAACCGGCCCCAAAGTACCCAAAAACGGCCCCAAAATACCCAAAACCGGCCCCAAAATACCCAAAACCGGCCCCAAAGTACCCAAAAATGGCCCCAAATACCTAAAAACGGCTCAAAAACGGCCCCCATGGCCTTCGGCGGCCACCAGAGGCACAAGGTGTGACAGAAACGGCCCCAAAATACCCAAAACCAGCCCCAAAACGGCCCAAAAATATCCAAATCTGCCCCCATCGCCTTCAGGGGCCACCTGAGGCACAAGGTCTGACACAAATGGCCCCAAATGGCCCCAAATACCCAAAACCAGCCCCAAAACGGCCCCAAAATACCCAAAAACGGCCCCAAAATATCCAAAAACTGCCCCAAAAATACTCAAAACCTGCCCCAAAACTTCCCCATCGCCTTCGGCGGCCACCAGAGGCACAAGNAAACGGCCAAGAAATACCCCAAAATGGCCCCCATCGCCTTCGGCGGCCACCAGAGGCACAAGGTGTGACAGAAACGGCCCCAAAATACCCAAAAACGGCCCAAAACGGCTCAAAAACGGCCAAGAAATACCCCAAAACGGCCAAGAAATACCGCAAAACGGCCCAAAATGGCCCCAAAACGGCCCAAAAATACCCCAAAACGGCTCAAAAACGGCCCCCATCGCCTTCGGCAGCCACCAGAGGCACAAGGTGTGACAGAAACGGCCCCAAAATGCCCAAAAACGGCCCAAAACGGCTCAAAAACGGCCCCCATCACCTTCGGCGGCCACCAGAGGCACAAGGTGTGACAGAAACGGCCAAAAAATGCCCAAAACGGCCCAAAATGGCCCAAAACGGCTCAAAAACGGCCCAAAACGGCCCCAAATGGCCCAAAAACGGCCCAAAAACGGCCAAAAATACCCCAAAACGGCCCAAAAACGGCCCCAAAACTGCCCCCATCGCCTTCGGCGGCCACCTGAGGCACAAGGTGTGACAGAAACGGCCCCAAATGGCCCCAAATACCCAAAACCAGCCCCAAAACGGCCCCAAAATACCCAAAAACGGCCCCAAGATACCCCCAAACAGCCCCGATGTCCCCATTGTCCCCACAGACGGTGGCCCTGGACGGGACGCTGTTCCAGAAGTCCGGGGTGATCTCGGGCTGTCCCCATGGCTGTCCCCAATGTCCCCAATGTCCCCATGGCTGTCTCTGATGTCCCCTGTGTGTCCCCAATGTCCCCATGGCTGTCCCTGATGTCCCCATTGTCCCCTGGGTGTCCCCATGTCCCCACAGACGGTGACCCTGGATGGCACACTGTCCCCAATGTCCCCAATGTCCCCTGGGTGTCCCCACAGACGGTGGCCCTGGACGGGACCCTGTTCCAGAAGTCCGGGGTGACTCTGGGTGTCCCCAATGTCCCCATGGCTGTCCCTGGGTGTCCCCAATGTCCCCTGGGTGTCCCCACAGACGGTGGCCCTGGATGGCACACTGTCCCCAATGTCCCCTGGGTGTCCCCATTGTCCCCACAGACGGTGGCCCTGGACGGGACGCTGTTCCAGAAGTCCGGGGTGACTCTGGCTGTCCCCATTGTCCCCATGGCTGTCCCCATTGTCCCCATTGTCCCCTTGGGTGTCCCCATTGTCCCCTGGGTGTCCCCATTGTCCCCACAGATGGTGGCCCTGGACGGGACGCTGTTCCAGAAGTCCGGGGTGACTCTGGGTGTCCCCAATGTCCCCATGGCTGTCCCCATTGTCCCCATTGTCCCCATTGTCCCCACAGACGGTGGCCCTGGACGGGACGCTGTTCCAGAAGTCCGGGGTGATCTCGGGCGGCGCCAGCGACCTCAAGGCCAAGGCTCGGCGCTGGGACGAGAAAGCCGTGGACAAACTGAAGGAGAAAAAGGAGAGGCTCACCGAGGAGCTCAAGGTGCGACCCCAAAACTGATCCTAAAACTGATCCTAAACCCCCTAAACTGACCCCAAACTGATCCTAAACCCCCTAAACTGACCCCAAAACTGACCCCAAACTGACCCTGAAACCCCAAACCCACCCCAAAACCCCAAATGAGCCGTGGACAAACTGAAGGAGAAAAAGGAGAGGCTCACTGAGGAGCTCAAGGTGAGACCCTAAAACTGATCCTAAACCCCCTAAACTGATCCTAAATCCTCTAAACTGATCCTAAATCCCCAAAACTGACCCCAAACTGATCCTAAACCCCCTAAAACTGATCCTAAACCTCCTAAACTGACCCCAAACTGACCCTAAACCCCCTAAACTGACCCTAAATCCCCTAAACTGACCCCAAACTGACCCTAAAACCGACCCCAAAACCCCAGAACTGACCCTAAATCCCCCATTTTTCCTCCAAAAT